CACAGAACCTCTGCCAAAAAAGCCCGTTGATCTTTCAAGTCACACTACAGAAAGAGAAATATACATCACCCCATTGTATGGGGTGAAAAAAAAGTATATTGCTACTTGTCTTTCCTAAGTAATTTTTGTTCTGTGAAATAAATAAATAATTTGACAGGAGCCTTTTAAGTGTGAACCATATACTTTTAGGGTGAAATCAAACCAATTGTAAAAGATTAATGGATATGCTTCCTGAAGTGGTATCTCCCAAGATGATTACAGCGTTTAACAGATATAAGGTCAAGACTAAAGAAACTTTCTAATGTCCACTGAGAACAAAATATTTGCTTCTGCTATCATTATGCAAAGCTCTGGCCTTCATTACCACAAGATATTCCAAGGCCTCTAAGAGCTGCAGACTTACATGTATAGTTTCAATAAAAATATGTTCAAAGATTTAAAAAAAAAAAAAAAGTCCAAAGGGATTTTTTTTCTCCCACTGAGCAAAGAAGTTCTGCTGGAAGTGACCACTAACAATTGTTGGCTACATATTAAAAAGTACTGGCTAGAGAACAGGGACTGGCAGTCCACACTTGTGAACAAAATCAAATTGACAGGCAAAGGCAACCAGCTTTGGACGTTAGCTATTTTTTTCTACAAGTCAGACACTAATGGCCTCATGAAAGAAATGGATCGGCTCCACTTTATTTCTCTTCTCCTTGCTTGCACAAATGTGTAAACGTAAGAACAAAAAAATGAAGCAAAGAGTTACGTAAGTTCAACACAGAATCAGTAACGTGCAGGGCAGACAGACAGCCATCTGTCTCACTCTCTTTATACTATGCGTGATACACATGGCACTACTTTGCACCCTACAACTAACAGAAAAGGGAACTAAGTGAGCTTTAAAGCAGTGTAGCTAAGTCTCCTAGCAATACTGAAACAAAGTGGAACTGCAAGAAAGAGAGGAAAAAATAATGCATTTAGCAGAGGATGAAAGATTTTTGAGCAAAGGGCCTCTTATATTCTCATCTCTGAATGAATTAAAGTTCGGGGGGAGGAGGCCGGAGAAACCAGAGCGAGCGAAACAAAAAGTGTGACAGAAGCAAAAGAGCCAGAAACTGTGAATCCGGGCTAAACGTGGGCAGACGCCGGGAGCCGGAGCCCGCAGCTCGGCGTCCCCAGGCGGCGCGGGGGCCGGGCCGAACCGAG